TGAATGCACTCCGGTGGTTGGCGGACCATCTGCATGGTGGTTGTGGCATCTAGCTGCTTTTGTGGCAGCTGTGGTTATTGTGGTGGCTATGGTGGGCCACACACGTGGAGGTGCTGTTTTGGGTATGCTCCTTGGCACTGGCAGTTTGCCTGGTTGTGAGGTGTGTTTGGTCCCCTTCTCCATGCCTCTGGTCCCTGGGCAGGCAGGCCCTAAGGCGCTGGCACCATGTGCCTGGTTGTGGAGGGGTAGCCAGTCCCCTTCTCCATACCTTGGGTCACCAGGTAAGATCCAAGGAGCTGGCTTGGTGCACTTGGTTGTGGGAGAGTGGTCCGGTCCCCTTCTCCATGCCCCAGGTCTCTGGGCAGGACCCAAGGTGCTGGCACTATGTGCTTGGTTGTGGGAGGAGGGTCTGGTCCCTGGCTCCGTACCTCAGGTCACTGGGCAGGACCTGAGGCACTGGCTTGGTGTGCCTGGTTGTGGGAGAGAGGTCCAGTCCCCTTCTCCTTGCCTTAGGTCCCTGGGTGGGCCCCAAGGTGCTGGCGTGGTGTGCCTGGTTGTAGGAAGAGAGTCCAGTCCCCGGCTCCATGCCTTGGGTCACTGGTCAAGACCCAAGGCGCTGGCTTGGTGTGCCTCGTTGTGGGAGGAGGGTCCAGTCCCCTTCTCCATGTCTCAGGTCCCCGGGCTGGCCCCAAGGCACTGGCACAGTTGCCTGGAAGTGGGAGTGGGGTCCGGTCCCCGGATCCAAGCCTCCAGTTCCCAGGCAGGCCCCAAGATGCTGGTGGTGTGCCTGGCCCGGAACTAATTTTTTGTCCTTTGCTTCTAACATGGGGGAACTTCCTGTGGGAACCAGTACTTGAGCTGTGTGGTTGTTTAAATTGCTGCTTTGCTGCTGTTTCCCTAGGGAAGGCTTTTTGTGCAGCTCAAGGTTTAGTGGTTGACCTTATAGGTACTTCCAGCTCTCCAGAGACCCAGTAGATCTGCGTTCTGTAGAATCTCTGATCTGGGCCTGAGTTTTTTCATCAAACTGCACCCCATGCAATTCTGCATTCCTGACCAGTTTCCTCTGAGTGGTCCTGAGCTGATTGGCGGGCAGATCGGCTGTCCTTGCTGTGTCCCAGTGTTCTCCTGGTGGGCTCATCTCCCCGACCACCCGTGCTCCAAACACTTCCCATGGGATAGGCCCTGTGTCAGTCCCTTGCAATGACTCGCCAGCCTCTGAATGGCTCCCTTTTTTCTCAGTTGTTCTGGCTCCTCACTCCTGTGTGGGTCCATAGGAACCCTATTAGTGGTCTTGCTGTCCTGGGGGCCACCAAGGCCCTCTTCTCCCCTGCTGCCTCCAAGTAACTCCATCTTAAGGGCACAGCTGTGCCTTCTGCCAGCTCCTGCACCGTGCTCAGCAGCTCGAGCCTTAAAGCAGCTACAGCCCAAAACGCTGAGAGCAGCTTTTTCTTTCTCTCATCATGGCTTCTCCCACCTTCATGAACTCCGTAGGTCTCTCTTCCTCTTCCCCTGAGCTCGAGTGGCCCCAGCTTGGCTTATGTTACATTTTTATAGTTGTAAATTTGGTTGATTTGTGGGAGAGAGTGACGCTGGGGACCGTCTGTTCCACCATCTTGACTGGAACTCCACTGTCATTTTCACTTTTGGACACCAGAAAAAACATTCAGGTTTCGTACTTTAGGAGATTTACAGCTTCAAGATCCCTGTTTTTTGCTTAGAAAACCCATAGATTTGTTTTTTATAATCTCTACCATGCCAGGATGGGTGAGAGAGGAAAAATCCTACGTCATTTTCACTTTTGGACACCAGAAAAAACATTCAGGTTTCGTACTTTAGGAGATTTACAGCTTCAAGATCCCTGTTTTTTGCTTAGGAAACCCATAGATTTGTTTTTTATAATCTCTACCATGCCAGGATGGGTGAGAGAGGAAAAATCCCCACTTCCCAAGGGCATTTTTTAGGAAGTAGAAAATAATACCATTTGCTCTCAGATCCTGACATTTCTCCAGGGCTCTGGGACAGGGGACAGAAGCCCATCAGCCCAGGACTCCCAGTCCACTATCTTCCTTCATTCAGCTTCTCTTTCTTCCCCAGCTCAGAGAATCTTTATTTAGTCCAGGAAATTAGGGGTAGGACTAGAAGAGCTGCTTCTCCCAGATCACATACATTTCAGAAAACTTTTCCTCAATTTATTGAGTAACAATTTACATAAAATAAAATTCTCCCATTTTAAGTGTACATTTACATGAGTTTTGACAAATGTATATATCCATGTATCAATCACTATCAAGATATAGAATCTTTGCATCACACCAGAAAGTCCTTTTATGTGCCTTTATAGTCAATGCACTTCCCCAAAACGTCCTTCATCAGGTGAACAGGTAAACAAATAGCACATCACACAATGGAATATTACTCAGTAATAAAAAGGAATATACTGCTGATAAACCAATCAATGAATGAATCTGCATTAGTCTAAGCAAATAAAAGAAATATAAAAGAACCCATACTGTATGATTCTGTGTATATGAAAATGTATTGCAGGCAAAGATTTTCCCT